GCCTTCCAAAGGTCAGGAAGATTGCTGCCTAGATGTGACTTCATCACATCTTCCAATGTGACCCTCCAGAGTAAAGTATTGTAATTAACAGTAGGTGGTCAGAGCAAAGGGGAGCGGTCGGGGACTTTTCTGGGAAATTTTATCATATACTCAGGATGTGTAAGAGAGCCATGTAATTCTTTTATAGTAGTATACTGGGGAGTCAGAGGGGGGTCGCTTCCCACCAAGGCTGCCACAGTTTCTGGAGCAAAATCCTAGGTCGGGGTGGGGGCACAGTAGCGGCCTTGCCAACGTACTGAACCGACCAGAAGCGAGGGGCTCAGACAGATCCTAGGGCCCCACCAGGTCGGACTCCTCCAGCGTGGCTCTCTAATGAGCTAAAAAATCCTGAAAAGAAAAGAAAGAATGGAGGGCTAGTAGCAGAAGGCAGCCTTGGCTGCTGTCGCTTTCTCTGCACTCCTGCTGAGGACACTTGTGCCCTTGGTGCTGCCAAAGGTTAGAACACGGCCTTTCCCTTGTAGATCATGTGGGCTGATACACAGGCCTCTGCCCTCACTGCCAGCCACCCAAAACCTCTTCTGTCACAGATTTCAGCAGTGCCACTGTGACCTGCCGCTTACAGTGATCTTTGGCCCGCTTAGCTGAGAGTAAAGCACTCGTTAAGTAAACACGTATTGAATCTCCTTTTGAGCCAGTGCACAGTGCTAGTTGTAAAGATCAGTAAAAGAATTTGGGATTTAAGGAAATGGAAGGTGCATTCCAAACATGCACACCCAGCATGTTTCTCAAACTGCCTGATCTGGGACTTGAACCATGCAGTTGGCTATGTGAGATTCAGCCACCTTAACCACCCCAACCACCTACAGGGCCGACCCTGTGGCTTAGTTTTTAATAAGCTTAAAATATTTTTTAATTAGAAAAAAATCTCCTCCTCTTCCTGTCTTCTTCCTCTTCCTCCTCCTCCTCTCTTCTTCCTCCTCCTCTCTTCTTCCTCCTTCTCCTGTCTTCTTCCTCCTTCCTCCTCTTCCCTCCCTCCTCCTCCTTTCCTCCCCCTCCTCCTCTCTTCCTCCTTCTCTTCCTCTTCCTCTTCCTCCTCTCTTCCTCCTCATGATGTAAGTAACACTCAGATGTTACGGTGTTTAAGGGCACTGGACTCCCACATGGCCATCTGCAGTTTGAGTCCTTGACCTGGTGGCTTGCTTTCTCACTTTTCCTCTCTCTCTGTCCCTCTCTGGTCAAATTAAAACAAATAAATAAAGTTAAATAAAATAATTACTTTAAAAATAGGTTGTCTTGGGACCAACAGTTAGTGTAATGGCTATGTCACTGAACTCCCACATAGCCGACCACGGTTCGAGTCCTGGACCCAGTGGCTTAAACTCACGCCGGGCACGTGTGTGTGCATGCCTGTGCCCAAGATCCCGAGAGGAGAATGGAGGAGAAGTGATTGCGGCGTGGCCATTCTCCCGGGGGGGGGTGATTTCTTGTTTTCTATCTCTGTCTGTCTCTGTCTTTCTGGCGAGCACACGCGCCCTATAGCAAAAAATAAATAAATAAGTGAAAAATAGGTCATCAGGAAAGTCATGAAGGTTTTTTTTTTTTTTTTTGAGAGGTTTTCGGTACAGGGCGCGTGCTCTCGCCCGACAGACAGAGACATAGAGACAGAAAGCGAGAAATCACCCCCCAGGGGGGATGGTCACGCCGCAATCCCTTCTCCTCCATTCTCCTCTCGGGATCTTGGGCATGCACACACAGGCAACCTGGCGTGAGTTTTAAGCCGCCAGGTCCGGGACGCGAACCGCGGTCGACTACGTGGGAGTCCAGCGACATAGCCATTACGCTAACTGCTGGTTCCCATGAGGTGTTTTTCTATGCAAAAAAGTGTCATGACTTATCTGATGATTAAATAGTATATGCTAAATAAAGGTATCTAGCAGATTACTGTATTTTTAACCTGAGATTGAAAAAGGTTTAGCAGTTTCTTTTCATAAAGGCATTCTTATTACCAACATTAATAGAGTTCTATTTTTCACAGAAAAATTTTGAAAGACCTATCTTCTGAAGATACACGGGGCAGAAAAGGAGACGGAGAAAACCCTGGAGTTTCTGCTGTCACTTCTATGTCTGTTCCAACTCCCATCTATCAGACTAGCAGCGGACAGTACAGTATGTATAGGAATCAATTTCCATGTGATATACACACAGAAACTAACTTTCCTGTGGAAAGAAGTGGTGTGTAGGTCATACTTTAGTAATGACAATTAGGGGCTGGCAAGTGGCATTGTAGTCGAAGGTGCTAGACTTCCCCTTGTCTGACAGCAGTTCAAGTCGAACTGGTGGCTTGCTTTCTCACCCCACCCATCCATCCCCCTGTCTCTCTTTATCTGTTTGATCAAACTGGAAAATAATTAATAAAGTCAAATAATTATTTTTAAAAATATATTGACAATTATTAAAGGATATATTTTGGGGGCAAGCAGGTGGCGTGGTGGTTATTAAGTCCCTGGATTCCACATGGCCAACTACATGGTTCAGTCCTGGACCTGGTAACTTGAAAAACACACCAGGTACACAGTACTTTTTCAGATTTATCTCATTTAAGCCTTACAACAACTTTGAGGTTTTCAGTTTTAGGTAATTGAAAGAATTCGGTATATTCCTGAAATCACACAGCTTATAAGTGATGGAGCCATGATTGAAGGGTTGGTTTGTCTAAGTCACAAGATACCATGGGAGGGGGGCGGGGGGAGGGTTT